GAGCAGTAATTTTAGGGGAGATTGTTGATTTGAAACCCTATAAAAGGAGAGCTATTCTGATGTATTTTGACAGATTGTTCCTTTCAAATTCTTAATATATTAGAATAGTTTACTCTATGTCTAGCTAGATTCTCTTTAATCTGATTCAAGGAATTTGAAGTTTTAGTTGTGAATTTAGGGAGGTTCTATTTCAATTAATTTGCTGGATTCATGTACTTCCTGCTCTTTCAGAGTTAATTTTTCAGGAAGACTGATAATAAATTAAATTGACAACTTAGTTTATTATTGTTTATCATTGCTATCTATGAGTTTATGATCTGTAATTGTCATAAACGATTAGACCGAGTAGCTTGTATTAATTATATTGCTATGATTAGTACACAAAGGACAGGAAGATAAAGTTGCAGGTTGTAGCTATCTCAATCTGTGATTTAGGCTTAGTTATTTTCCATTAAAGTGTAATGATATTATTGGGTGAATATGGAACGCTATCGTCCCCAGTTTATTCAATAACAGATGTTGGTTTGAATGCTTGGTTTGAATCAATTAATTCAGGGAGATCAAATGCTAGTTATGGCTATCCTAATTAGTCTTTGGCTAAGTACTTGAATCTGAACTTTACTTGTAAGAGCCAATGATCTAAGTCACATCTTTAACGTTCATTCTTCCTTGAATCAGAATTCAACATCTCTGAACTCGTTATTAATTATTGTCTATCTTATTTATTCTTCTCAAATCCCCCAATTTTCCCTACTTTGAATCATTTTATTTTAATTAAAGAAACGAAACTCATTAGTTCTCTTGGGATTCGACCCGGTCTTGCCACTACTACAAATTAGTGGAGTGAGCCAGTATTAAATTTGTAGGGCTTCGACAACCCTGCCAAATTTTGGCGCCGTTGCCGGGGAACTAAAATCGTTTCTTGAGTTTTTCTTTGTGATTGTTTCTATTGTCCTTAGTGTTGCATGACTCGTTCCTCTCATTCAGGAGAATTGCAATATATCCCTGAGATTGAGAAAGTCGCAAGGCAACTAAGGAAAGAAACAAAGCAAATTAAAGAAATAGCTCCTCGAGTTCTGAAGAGGTAAATTCAACCTGTGATCCAGCAAACGAGGAGGTTGTAAGTAAAATGGCTGAACCAAACAATAGAACACTTAGGGAGTTAGCTGCACTGAATCTAAACCAACAACCTCTATGTATAACAATACCAAATCTTGAGGTTGATTTTGCTTTAAAATCTGGTTTAATTCATTTACTCCCTATTTTTCGAGGTTTGGCGGGTGAAGACCCACATAAACACTTGAAAGAGTTTCAAGTAGTTTGTGCAGTTATGAAACTACGTGGGGTGACTGATGAGCATATAAGTCTTAGAGCATTTCCATTTTCATTAAAAGATAAAGCAAAAGATTGGCTCTATAATCTTCCCCCCGATTCAGTTAACATGTGGAATGATGTGAAAAAATTATTTCTTGAAAAATTCTTCCCTGCATCTAGGGCAACTAATAGTAGGAAGGAAATATATGGCATAAGGCAATGTACAGGTGAAAGATGGTGTTTCAACAACTCCCAAGTAAAGCACTGGTGATTATCTGATCTTGGCGATACCAAGTTAAATGTTCCTTGTTAGAAGTTTTTTGTGCTGTATCATTAAATTTAGCTGGTTCTTTGACAGAACCATCGATGTATCCGAAGATATTAAAGCCAATCAGGGTGGACTGAACTTGCCGTCTCCAAACAGGAAAGTTGATGGAAGTGAGTTTGATAGGGAAATTGGATGGAGCATTAAGCTGGACATTGTCATTGATGGTTGTAGCCATGGATAAAAATGGCGAAAGGGAAAAGAAAAAAACTCCTTAGGGGATTATGGCTCTTGATACCATGTGAGGGAATGAACTGTACCTTTATTGATGTAAACTACCAGCTATATATAGTACACAAAGGAGAGTAAATAGCAGGGAGTTACAACAACTATTCAAACATAACTATTTTACAGGAACATAAATAGAACAAATAGTAACTGAATATAACACTAGCCACATATAGGCTTAACATAGAGGCATTATACTATATATTTGTTCTATATATATATATATATATATATATATATATATATATATATATATATATATATATATATATATATATATATATATATATTTATATTTATATATATATACATACATACATACATACATACATACATACATACATACATACATACATACATATATTACATTCAGGTGAAAACACATCTTAAAGTACAAACATTTGGTATTTTACTAGTGATTAAAACCTAGACAAATTTTAATCACTAATTTCATGCGCACGTTCTAGAGTCCTTCTTTTATCCCGTTTCTGCTGTGTTCGTGCGTAGGACTGCTCGACGTGCTCCGCAACATGCGTTTCTTTCATAAGTTTGTTTCTCTCTTCCTCAAATCCCCGTAGCCATGGTTGTTGAGGGGGACCGCGACACACTGAAGAAGCGGGGTCCACCGGTGATTGGTCGAGGTTAGTTGCTTTGTCTATTCTACATTTGGGGGGGGGGGGGGGGGTTGTGTTTTCCTGATATTTTTGGGGTTAACCGGGGGGGGGGGGGGGGGGGGTTTGTTGTTTGCTGGGCGGTAGCTATGGTGTTTTGGGTCGGGGGTGCGGGTGTTCCAGATTTTTTGCTCGGATTTGGTAGCTAGGGTTTTTTTTTTTTTCTTTTTTCTGGGGGTTTTTGGGTCATGGGTGGGTTGTCCGCAGTGTTCTGGTTGTTTTGTTGGTTCATCGGGTGTTCACGACGGTGGTTTGGGGCCGGGGCTGTTGGGGGTTATTTTTTTGGTGGTTTCTAGGACGTGGAGGGATGACGTGACGCAGTGGGTCTGGTGGGGTTTGGTAGCTCCTCCGGCTGTGCACAATGATGGTTTGGTGCCAGTGATTTTTGGGGTGTGGGTTTTGTTTTTGGGTTTACTGTTGCGGTGGGGGGGGGGGGGGCTGGTCCAGTGGGATATGGTGGTGGACTGGTAGACTGTTCATGTGTGTACGGTGGTGGTTTGTTGTCCGCGGGGGGGGGGGGGGGGGGGGGGTTGGGGGTCTGTTATTCTCACCGGTCCCTGGCCGCGGACCGGCGGTGGTTTATAGTTTTTTTTTTTTTTTTTCTAATTTGATGGTTTTTGTTTTAATGAATTTTTAGTTGTTGAGCAATTTTTTTTCTTCACAAATGTGGTTGTTTTAGTTGTTCTTAACATCTGTTGGTTTCTACATTGCATTGGTTTTTGTATGATAATGCTAATTGGGATAGTATTTGATGGATAATCGGTTCAGGGTAGGTGTTTGCTTCGGGTTTAGGCTATGGAACAATTTGCCAATTTTATGTGTTGGCTTCGGGTTAAGCATGTGGAACAATTTGCAAGGTTTTGCTAGTGCCTCCCGAGGACGAATCATCCCCCTCAAGGCCAAGCTTACCAGGAACCCGAAGGGTAATCGATCAGTCACCGCGTTTTTGAACGACGTGCGGTCCATAGCTGACTGATTGTAGTATATTTTGAACCAAATCAACTCTGAGTAACGAGTTATCGATCCACAGGGAAGTGGTTGTATTAAGCACTAGCTACTAATTTATTCTATGAAGCTAATTCTAATGATTAATTTGGATTGTTGCATTAAATAAATAAAATAAAGCAATGATTCGGGGTTTTGAAAACAATAGAGAGAGATTGAGATTCCTGTGATTCAAGTGTTTAATCCCCTAGTGCCTAACCTAATGTAATATTAAATTTGGGTCTAAACGAGTGTGAGGATGCAATGTGGTATAAAGCTACTCTCGTAGTCACTAACACTAAGGAATATCCACTCCCGTGGTATAAACACCCAATAAGAACAAGAACAAGCATTCATAAATAATCCCTAACCACTACCATCCCTCGATGTGCAATAATCAAGAATTAAACTCCCTAACAAATATGTCATTTCCCAAGGTGCAAAAGTTAAGTGCAATTGTATGAACTCTCAATTATGCCTAAATCCCGTTATGACATAAACAACCACCCTGAACTACTCGCAACGACAATAATAAACACAAATGCAACACAAATTTAAAACCCAAATAATAATATATTAAAGAATCTGAGAGCACAGACACACTGGTTCATAAGCACTTTTTACCCCAGAATCTCTAATGAAATTTAGCCAAGCATGGCTAAATTATACATAGCAAATATAATAAAAGAATTAAAAATCATCAAAGAGAGTAAAAGATTGAACCAGGTAATTTCTCCAAATCTCCCTAGTCTTCTTCTTGATTCCAAAGACAACTTGTGGCTCTTGATTTCTCTCCTTCTTGTCTCCAAAGATCTCCGAATGAATCTTCTAGGGTTAAACCAAGATGGGATTTTATAGTGGGAGCCAAACCGGGGCCAAATTAGAATTCTATTCTTTAATTTGGAAAATTGCAGTCTTTTTTTTTTTTTTTTTTTTTTTTTTTTTTTTTTTTTTTTAATTTTAGAACATGCCACCTCCACCTTTCAATTAAAGAGAATGCCCACTTTTCAATTTTATAGAAAGCAGCGCCCTTTTATTTTTTGTAAAGTGCAGCACCGTTAATTTAAAAAAAAGGCCGCCTCTTCAATTCGGAACACAGCACCTTTCGACGCGTCGAACGTCTTTGGTCGCGACCTGCTGAATGCTACTGTCCGTGTTCGACGATTCGAGTCTTGGACTCGACGCGTCGAGTCTTCTAGACTCCAAACTCGTTCATTTGGCTCCAAGCTTGCCCTAAAACTTTCATTGCTCTTGTATTTGACCTATAATGGTTTCAAAACACTAACAAACACCATAAAACATTCAAAACAAGTGTAAACCAAAACTAAATAATAAAACAAGGGATTATGCAATTAAATTACCATTTTCACGGAATTGAACCCAACAAACATGATCAAACTAATACAGGAAATATGCACAACTGAACTCACATCACTAACGATCTCGCACTGGCTCAATGCCTTGTTTCTGATGATGATATGGTTGTGTACATTTTAACACAACTAAGAGACGAGTACAGGTCTATCGTCTCTGCGGTTCGTATCCGTGACAAGCCCATTTCTTTGGGAGAATTAGCCGATGTCCTCACGGATCATGAACGTCAGTTGGCTGAAGCTGATGATGCTCGCCAATCTCTACTGGCTACTGCTAATGCCACCCAACGTGGTCCTTCGGCTTCCAGAATTCAGCATTCCAACGCCAATCGGAGGTCCCGCAACAACAACAACATCACGCACGGAAATACTAGACCAAATTGGTCACACAACAGCAACACCCGACCTGGTGTTGTGTGTCAGTTTTGTAACCCTGCTAGCCATGAAACTCGTATTTGCCGTAAGTTAGCCCTATTTTTAAAGGACCATAACGTGTTTCCCATGCAGGCACCTTCATTTTCTCAGTCTCAGTCACCTACAACTAATTCTACCGTGAGATCGACTACGTCGTGGCTGTTTGACAGCGGGGCATCTCACCATGCCACACCGGATATGACTCCTCTGCAGACTTTTACTGAGTATAATGGTCTTGATGGAATACGCTTGGGCGATGGTAATTCTTTAAAAATCTCTCACATTGGTCAGTCCTCTATTCTCACTCCCTCTTCCGTGCCCACTCTCCAAAATGCCCTACGTGTGCCACAGTTGCATAATAATTTAATATTCATATCGCAGCTGTGCAAAACTAATCAAGTGTCAGTTGAATTTTTTTATTCCCACTTTCTTGTGAAGGATCTTCGAACGGGGATATCACTACTACGGGGAGCGAACATTGATGGTGTCTACTATGACCACTCCTGCGTCAACCCACAGCCAATTCCATGCAACTGTCTCGCGTCTCCCAGTGGCACCATTGTGACAACCCAAAATTTAATTTTATAAATTCGGTTTTAAGAAATTCCAAAATGCCCATTTTTCACTCTACCAATTTTTTTTTTTTTTAGATAAAAACGGTGTTTGAATAAATTATTTTGAGTTACATTTTAAATGAATTCAACACTGGGACTTATTTTAATTCTAAAATCCTAAATTTTTGGGTACATTGCATATCAAGTTTTTGATCCAAAAGTCAATCTGAGTGAAACCGGGAGAAATCTGAGAAACCGAACTAAGTGGTTGTTTAGAAAGTATTTTTGGAAAATGTATTTTGACCCCCAAACTATTTAGAACTATATTTTTAGACCTTGGCCCATGAAGCTTGGTGAACCAGAAGACTCCACCTTTTTGCCTCATATTTTTGATCAACCACCGAATTACCATGTTACCCTCCACCGATCATTGTTGATTCTCCTAGGGTTTAGAGCCCCTATAAAATGAATAGTTTCCAGACTTTGCCTCTTGATTTCCATCATTGTTTTCCCCACCAAGAAGCTCTGCAAGAAAATCGAAGAAAACACAGTAAGTTTTAAGCTTAATCTCAGCCATTCATCCATTCTTCTTCTAGCTTCTTTGTTTTCTAGCTTCTATCTCTGAGAGTCTAGCTCTTAAGGCTTGTTGTGTGGATTGTTTGAGGTATATAGGTGGTGAAGGGGGTAGTAGCTGACTTGGGAAGAAGGAGGAATCTCAACAAGAAGAGGAAACAACAAAGGTATAACCCATGGACTCCCACCTCTTTACATAGACTCTGTGAAGTCAAGTTTGTTGTTGAGAATGTGAAGAAATGCTAGATTATTGATGTGGTTGAGCTATTAAGTGATCTATGTTGATCTATGATGTGTTGTTGAGGATTTGGGGGTGTTGGATTGCTCTGAGTTTCATTGTAGATGAAGAAAAACCCCACTGGTACACAAACAGTGTGCATCAGGTTGAGTCACGGAGCAAGCCAACGGTCCTAGGCAAGGACCGTTGGCAAGCCCCGTGGAGGAACTGTAACACCCCCTTTTTCTTAAACTTACTTAAGTAACTAAACCTTTAAATGTAAACTAAACAACGGAAATAAACTTAATAAATTAACAAAAGGAGTGTCACTGCCACAACCACCCTTCACGGTGATTGCACAGGCTAGGGTAAAAACTAAACATCAAGTCAAAACTAAATCCGAATAACTAGGGGGATGAAACCCCGGTGTCCAGCACCATCAAAACTAGGGCTGGGCATTTCGGTTCGGTTTAACCGAACCGAACCGAACCAAACCGAACCGAAGCGGTTTGGTTTGGTTTGGTTTCAAACCGAAAAACCGATCGGTCCTAAGATTTGAGAAACCGATCGGTTCGGTTTGGTTCGGTTTAAAACCGAACCAAACCGACAAACCGATCGGTTTTTAAAAAAAAAAAATAAAAAAAATATATAATATATATAATAACTAATAATATATATAAATAAACTTTAATATAATCTAACATTCTAAGATCTAACCCTAATTTCCAGTTCACCCTTACCAGTTACGACAACACTTCACGCCTTCACGTATGCCATCGGTTTGATATGTGAAAAAGGAGATGTGCAACAAACATCAAATGAGTTGGATATATACTTGATGGAAAAGATTGAAATGCCAACTCCTAATAGATTGGGTATGCAATTTGATATTTTGTCATGGTGGAGGAAAGAAAGTATGAAATTCCCAATCTTGTCACAAATGGCACGTGATGTTCTTGCAATGCCAGTTTCTAGTGTTGCATCAGAGTCTGCTTTTAGCACTTCGGGCCGTATTTTAGACCAATATCGGAGTTCTTTGACACCGTATATGGTAGAGGCATTGATTTTGACACAAGATTGGTTACGGTCTTCACTCCAATCTGATTCAACAGTAAGCCTCGCTCAAATATTGGAAGAAACTCAGTTTATGGATATGCTTGCAGAAGGTAAGTTACAATTTTATATTTTTTTTATGAATTTATGTATAGTATATACTATATTAGTTTATGCTTCAATATTTTATTATTTTAACTTGTTTTTGAACCTTTTGTTTTGTTGTACAGAGATTCGCAAATCAACAGGGCAACGTCATATTGATCTGTGACCGTGATGATGGATGAACAACTTAACAACCTATGAGTTTGGAATTCGTTTTGTTATGTTGATTGTTTTTGAATTGTTATGTTGGTATCCTTTATTTAGATATTAGACTTTGGATTTGAGTTATTGATTCATGTTTGTAATGTTTGAACTTTGAACTTTGGATTCTAATTTCTAAGTATGTGATGTTTTGGTAATTAGATTGCTATTAGTATGGGATGTTAGTATTTACTATTTAGTAGTATGTTTAAACTTTAAATTTTTATTTTGTTATATAACGTTTATATTTTAGATGTGGATTATGTGAATAGGTATTGTTTGGTAATTGGTAGTATGTTTGGAAAATTATGAAATGTTGAAATTTGATGAATGTAATTCTCGTAAAGTCTTAAACCGAACCGAAGACCGAACCGAATTAAATCCGAACCGAAACCAAACCGATTGAAACCAAACCGAAACCAAACCGAACTACAATGTTAAACCGAATGGTTCAACTTTTTCTAAAACCGAAAAACCGAAACCGAAACCGAAACCGAAAAAACCAAACCGAAAACCGAAGTGCCCAGCCCTAATCAAAACATAGGTTACTACAATCCATAATACATGTTTAGACTACAAACAACATTCTAACTAGTCTAACTCGAATCTCTCTCTCGTACGTACGAGCCCGAACCACCTGAAAAGGGTTAACAAATAGACAAATAACAAGCAAACCTGTTAGCACGAAGCTAAGTATAACGCCACTCAACCCTGTAAAGTAACTACAGTAATTACTTTGAAAACAGAGTTTGATTACAATCTTGAAAGCAAACACTTAAACACTTAAATCATACGTTGGCATTAACTTCTAGATGCTTGCAACCTAAGTAGTAAATAGGCATACTAGATCATTAAACAAGAATCACAATTACATCTCAAGAGCAAACTAAGATTCTCAATTAAACAAATAAACTCCAGCTTTCTCATATAATTCAAATAAGCAACTTATGCTTGTAATCATGCAATCCCGTGCAAGATAAATAAATAGTAACTCATGCTACTAATCGTGCAATCCCGTGCAAGATATATAACTCAAAGAATGATACTATAACTTGTAACACCCCGAAATTTTGAAACTTTTAAAACTTATATAACAAAAGTCAATTCTCATTAAATCCAAAAACAGAGTAGTACTAAACATACGAGTGCGGGGTGCTATGCCACATCTGAGCTGGAGAACTCAGATGCACAGGCTAAACTAACTAAATATCCTCAATACATCATCATGGCGCGCAGGCCGAAAGGAAAACTATCTATCTACTCCAAGCTCTTCTAGCGCGCTCTGGGAGCTAATCCTCTGTGCCTGAAAGCCAAATATATCTGTTCCGCGAATGATGCCGGTAACCCACTCCAACGCGTTGAAATACATTATAAGTAGATATATATATAGATATATGAAAATCATTTTGAAGCAGGAAGATATATACTTAAGAGACTCTAGTTTTAAAACCAGGAATGGACTCAGCAAATAGGGGTGAGCACAATAATCAATAATAACAGTTAAGGAGAATCATAAAAAAGAATACGCAACTAAGGTCACAGTTTATTTCCACATAAATCATATCATCATTCAATCATCATTTGTGACACTCAATCACACTGAGCTGGTGCCACGGGACTAATCGCATGCCCCGAACATGAGGGTTAGCGCATATAGCACTAACACGGCCTCGCAGCACCCTACCTCATACCGCAGCATGAAGGAAGTTGATCGTAACCAACCCTTTAAAGACCGCTGACGAACTCAACGTCGGACCACAATCCTACACACCGCTAACGCGCCCAGTCGGTAGACTGTGATCCCCATTACAAGGGGAGATATACAACCCTACACACCGTTGACGGGCACAGTCGGTGGACCGTAGCGGATCCACCCTACACACCGCTGAGAGACTCAGTCGGTGGGCGAAGATCCTCAGAGACTACGACCCTACACACCGCTGGCCCATCACTCGGTGGATCGCAGCCAGCAGTAGCCCTACACACCACCTGATTACTCAGGTCGGTGGACTACAGCCTTCCTCGGGTTTATTGGCCCTACACACCGCCTGGCGCGTCCAGTTCGGTGGGTCATCATACTCGAGGCCCATGTGGACCGCAGCCCAAGAAGTGAATCACTTACCGCAGCCAGGAGGATGAACCGCATCTCATAAGTAACCAACAGCGGATCGCAGCCCTATATAATATTTATATACCTGACCGATCGCAACCGGCCTGGTTAACAGTTGGGATGGTTCTCAACCCATCCAACTGCCCGTATAGCCAATTTGATCGCAACCAAATTGGGGAATCATGCATCACATAACACACAATAGCACACAGTAGCACATAATAGCACAATGGGGAGGGGAAGGCACATAAATAAACTTACGTGTGATCATTCGCATACTAAGAATAGTCCTAAGGGATTCATACAACTTCCACCTAGGTCGACGGGTTACCGATTCAACTAGCATGCAATTCCTAAGACTCCTTTATCCTACGAATGGTACCCGAAATATCAAACTAGACTCAAGCACGACAAACGGGGTCCGTTGGGACACCATGAGGGATCGGGGAACACCAAACGGGGGAGCCGAAGACCCGGGGTGGGTACGGACCAGCGGGTAATTGGTGGGTGGGGGTCACCCGCCGGCTGCCTGCCGGAGACCACTATTCGGGCAGCGGGTTGTCGGCGGGCAGGCGGCTGCCCGGCGGTGATCTTTGGGCAGCGGGTAGGTGGCGGGTTCCCCTACCCCCACTGACTCTTTTATCATAAATTCGTCTCGGGATCCGTTGT